AAAAAAAAAAAAAAAATATATAGATAGATATATAGATAAAGCGTAACTACTCAGGAAGCTGAGATCTGAGGATTGCTATTCATGGCCCACCCAAGTAAGAAAGTCTGAGACTCATCTCCAGTTAACCACCCAAAAGCCATAAGTGAAGCTGTAGCTCCATGATACTGTGCTAGCCTTGAGCAAAAATTGCTCAAGGATGTTACCCAGGCCTTGAGTTTAAGCCCCAGGACCTGTATGTGCACACAAACACACACACAGTGTGTCTGCACACACACACACACACAATGTGTCTACAATGCTCTGGATTCAGCCCCTAGCACTGAAAAAAAAATTGCTACGTGTAGTACATGCCTATAATCTTGCACTGGGGAGATTGGTTGAGGCAGTGAGATCATGAATTAGAGGCCAGCTCGGGGTATAAAATGAGTTTTAAGGCTACCTGAACCATATATTGAGACTGTCTCAAAAAAAAAGAAAACCACAAGTTCTGCTCTCCATTAGTATTTGAGATTATAGGCTGACCCACAATGCCCAGCTTTAAATTTTTTATTAGGAACATTTCACATACAGAAAAATTAAGAGACTAATATGAATGCCCTAGCACCCTCATTTCTACCACTAGACTCAACAGTTTCTGTTTTGTTTTTTAAAGGAGGAAGCATGCATTTATTTATTTACTTATTTTGGGGGGGTCCCGTTGTGGGGCCTGAACTCTAGGCCTGGGCACTGTCCCTCAGCTCTTCAGCTCAAGGCTAGCGCTCTACCACTTGAGCCACAGCGCCACTTCCAGCTTTTTTCTTTTTACTTATGTGGTGCTGAGGAATCGAACCCAGGGCTTCATGCATGCAAGGCAAGCGCTCTACCACTGAGCCACCTTCCCAGCCCCGAGAGTTATTTAGTATTAAGATGAGTTTTTTTGTTGTTGTTTGGTTGGTTTTGTTTTGTTTTTGCCAGTCCTGAAGCTTGAATTACAGGCCTGGGTACTGTCCCTTGTGCTTCTTTTAGTTCAAGGCCAGCTTGAGCCACAGTATCACTTCCAGCTTTTTTGGTAGTTTTCTAAGAGTCTCACAGACTTTCCTGCCTAGGCTGGCTTTGAACCACAATCCTCAGATTTCAGCCTTCTGAGTAGCCAGGATTACAGGCATGAACCACCAGTGCTTGTTGTGTTAGTTTTAACAGCTGGGATCTTCTAAAAGGGCTGTGTGTATTCTCCCTTAGTTTTGTAGGCTTCCTGTTGAGAATCTCAGTATGTAAATAAGTTTCAAATTCATAGTATCAATATTGGCTACTAACGATAAAAATACCTGGGAAATTTAAGAATTCTTCAACCTTAGAATGCATTAAGGATATATTGTCATGTTAAGTGAAATAAGCCAAGCTCAGAGAAATATATGTCACATGTTTCATTCATATGCATATTTACACTACTAAAAAATAATATGACATGATTGTGAAAGAGGTACTGTGTAGAGGAGACCAGCAGGAGAGGATGGTGAAGGGTGAATATAATAGAGGTACACTGTATATATGTATATTAAAAAGGAACTTTAGCAGAAGGAAGGATACAAAGAATAATAAAGGCAGTGAATTTGAGCAAAGTATATGTAAATATCACAATGAAACATCTTCGTACAATGAATTAAAGAATTACTGTTAATAAAAATATTTTCTAAAAATTTTTCTGTAGTTTTCTATAGTTGGAATACTTGTGTTCCAGTGTCAATATGAATAATTCTTCTGTGTAAGTTTACCTTTACCAATTTGATCATTAATCTTGTTTCCTTCCATTTGTTTCCAGTCTAGGATTTTCTGTTTCTTGTTTAGTTTTACATTTGAATAAGCAAACCATTTCCATAATACATTTGTAGACATATAGAAAGATATACTTGGAGTAGTCTTAATTTCATCCCTGTCACTTCATACTATTTTTTAATTTTCTCACCTCTTTTTCATGGCTTTCAATTTATCCTTTTAACGTTTCTTTTTGTAAAAAGAAGTGTATATGTGGGTGTCTGTGTGTATACACACTCATTCTCATCACTTTTCTTATTCCAAAAGTATATACATTTTATACATCTTGTTCATTACTTAAGAAATTACCTAGAGATTGGCTCCTTAATGAGTAAAGATCTTATTTTTGTGGTTACATAGTGCTTGATCACTGGCTTTATCAGTATATCCTAGTCAGCCAGTCCTAATTAAATGATTAATTAGAGGTTTGATGGGTATAAGTTACATAATAAAAGTGAATAAAGCTTTACGTTTGAACCTTTACATCTGATATTTACATTGGCAGTTGGCTAATACTTTTGAATTATGATTATTAACATCAACTGACTAAATTTATAACTTCCTCTATATGTTTGTACTGTGATTTGTTATATAGTCCTCTATATGTTTGTACTGTGATTTATTTGGCATATAGGCATAATTTGAAAATCAACTGTTTTAATAATTATTATTTACTAAATATCAATTAAATGCATTGAAAATTTGAAAGTCTGAAAATTTGGGGGTGAACGTCTATAATGTATAATAAAAATAAAAAATAAAATCCATTTTCATTAATAGTGAATTTTTTTTCTAGGTGTAATGAAAGATAGGAAATTGTACATGCGTCTAGAGCCAATTACCTGTGAACCCTTTGGGTAAGATGTGTTTATAAATTTTTGTGTCATCTTTTGTTTTGTGTGTGTGTGTGTGTGTGTGTGTGTGTGTGTGTGTGTGTGTGTGTGTGTGTG